CCCCTCACAGGTGGCTGAGGTAGGGAGGAGGAGAGTGAGTGGGAGGAGAAGTGAGTGGGAGGAAGAGTGAGTGGGAGAAGAGAGTGAGTGGGAGGAAGAGAGTGAGTGGGAGGAAGAGTGAGTGGGAGGAAGAGTGAGTGGGAGGAAGAGAGTGAGTGGGAGGAAGAGCGTGAGTGGGAGGGAAGAGAGTGAGTGGGAGGAGAGAGTGAGAGGAGGAGAGAGGGAGGGAGGAGAGAGTGAGAGGGAAGGGAGAGTGAGTGGGAGGGGAGAGTGAGTGGGAGGAAGAGAGTGAGTGGGAGGAAGAGAGTGAGTGGGAGGAGAGTGAGTGGAGGAAGAGAGTGAGTGGAGGGGAAGAGAGTAGGTGGGGGAAGAGAGTGTGAGTGGGAGGGAGAGAGTGAGTGGGAGGAGGAAGAGAGTGAGTGGGAGGAAGAGAGTGGAGGAAGAGAGTGAGTGGGAGGAAGAGAGTGAGTGGGAGGAAGAGGTGAGTGGGAGGAAGAGAGTGAGTGGGAGGAGAGAGTGAGTGGGAGAGGGAGAGAAGGTGAGTAAGCCCGGAAGGGAATGGGAGGGAAGAGTCAGGAGAGGGAGTAGAGAGTCAGGGAGGGAAGTAGAGTCAGGGAGGGTAGAGTCAGGAGAGGGGAGAAGAGTCAGGGAAGGGGTAGAGTCAGGAGGAGTAGGAGTCAGGGAGAGGGAGTAAGAGTCAGGAGAGGGAGTAAGAGTCAGGGAGGGTAAGAGTCAGGAGAGGGAGTAGAGTCAGGGAGAGAGTAAGGAGGTCAGGAGAGGGGTAAGAGTCAGGGGAGGAGGGAGTAGGAGTCAGGAGGGAATAAGAGTCAGGGGAGAGGGAGTAAGAGTCAGGGAGAGGGGATAAGAGTCAGGAGAAGGAGTAAGAGTCAGGGAGAGGGAGTAAGAGTCAGGGAGAGGGAGTAGAGTCAGGGGAGGAAGTAAGAGTCAGGAGGGGAGTAAAGAGTCAGGGAGAGGGAGTAAGAGTCAGGGAGGAGTAGAGTCAGGGGAGAGGTACAGGTTCATTACTAAGTTCTCACTCACGACATTAACTTTGTTCTTGTTTGGTTGACCTGACCCACCTGACCCTGACCCCTGACCCAGACCCCATCTGACCATGACCCCCTGACCCCTACCCACCTGACCTGACCCCACCTGACCATGACCCCCCCCATCTACTGACCCCTGACCCTGACCCCTGACCCCGACCACCTGATCCTAACCCCAAATGACCCAGACCCCACCTGACCATGACCCCATCTATACCCCAACTGACCCCTGACCCCCACCTGACCCCGACCACCTGATCCTAACCCCCAAATGACCCAGACCACACCTGACCGTGACCCCACCTGACCCTAACCCCAAATGACCCAGACCCCATCTGACTACCCTGACCTTAGTTGACCCTGACCCTTGACACCACCTGACCTTGATTGACCTGACCCTTGACACACGACCTTAGTTGACCCTGACCCTTGACCACCTGACCTTAGTTGACCCTGACCCTTGACACCACCTGACCCCAACCCTACTTGAATCAACCTGATCCTGGCCCACCGACCCTGACCCTACCTGACCCCGCCCAACTGACTTCGACTGACCTGACCTCGGTTGACCTCCGAATGAAGCCAGCCAATCAGTTCACAGGGATGATGTGAGGTCGACCAATCAGCGTGAGAATATTGAGGCTGATATGAAGCCGACCAATGAGTGCGACGGCGTCCAGCCGGAGCGTGGATTGGACAAACACCAGCTACACCAGATTGTTAAGTTCATTCATCTTAATAATGTTGTGAGGCTCATCCTGGCCAGCTCTGTCTGTCTGTCTGTCTGTCTCTCACACACACACACACACACACACACACACACACACACACTCAGCCCCCGACTATACAACCCTACAGAATCTATTGAACAGTCTCCAAAAACTGGGCCAACAACCACGTCACCATCAACCATGCAGACCGTTATGCACACCATCCTCTCCCCAGACGCTGTCCACCCCTTCCGTTGCAGGTCCCAACACACTCCAGGTTGTGGATTCCACTAAGCTCCTCGACGTCACTACATATAACAAACTGAATTGAAAAACACACGTCAGTACAATTGTCAAATCCTCAGTTTCCGTCTCCACCTCCTCAGCCGACTCAAGTCCTCCAGGTTCCTGCCCCAAGCTCCTCAGTGTTTACTCAACATTCATAATTCCCAAGCTCACCTATGCCTCCTGCCTGGTCTTCCTTCCTAAATGCCACTCCGTAAACACCCAGAAAATGTGCAAAGAGGGCACAGATTATTCTCCTTCCTACTCCACATATAAAACTCAACACATAGCCCTTTCGGCTCTCTCGCCATCACCGACCTCATCTGCAAATTTGGTGAAGCTTTACACCATCCTCGACACCGGCTCCAACTACCACCTGAGATCCCTCGTCCGAAATTACTGTTTGACACCACAGCCGCATCCAGTCCATACGAGCACCAATTGATCGCTATAAGAACCCCAGTCCCAACCATTGTAAAGATTATCACTAACATGATAAACGAGTATTCCTCAGTTAATCTTACATTTTTGCACTGTTACTATATTGAAATGCCTGTAGTTTAACCTTCTCCCACTTGGTCATTATATATCATATTTGTATCACTTATATTTACTTGTATATTATTTGTAAATCAATAGACCCATTCCCCATTATGTAAACTGTATATTTTAGCCTTCCAGCTGCCATATCTTTCAATAAACCGTTAATTATTTATTATTATTATTATTGTTTTATTATTATTATTATTAATATTAACACTAATAAACACACACACACACACACACACACACACACACACACACACACACACACACACACACACACACACACACACACACACACACACACACACACACACACACACACACACACACACACACACACACACACACACACACACACACACACACACACACACACACACACACACACCATAAAATGTAATTTGTGTTTGGCATCAAGTTATATTCCCTCAACAAATTCATAACACAGTCCATTTTTAATGACACTAAAATCCTCGCGTCCTGAGGCGGTGCTCACAACTGTCTGGCTTTTACCAACAAAAAATATAATAATTTCACAATCAATTTTTAAAATAACGTCAACAAAATATTAAAATTTTGCTCCGATAAAAAGATTGGGTGTTTTTGTTTGATTTTATTGTGCGTGTGTGTGTAAATAATAATATATAATAATAATAATAAACGTTTTATTAATAGAGTTACAGCCGGTGGCTTGAAATATACAGACTTACATTTGGTTTAGACATAATGATATGTGTATGTGTGTGTTAATAATAAGAATAATAATAATAATAATAATAATAATAATAATAATAATAATAATTAACGGTTTATTGAAAGAGCTTAGCAGCCAGAAGGCTGAAAATATACAGTTACATAATTGGAATGGGTTTTGATTTACAAATAATATACAAGTAACATATGACACAAATAAGATATATAATAACTAGATGGGGAAAAGCTCAAACTACAGGGCATTTCAACATAGTGACAGTAAGAAGTAGTATTTACTGGGAGTGAATACACTGGTTTATTACAAGTTATTGATAATTTTTTACAATGGTTGGGACTGGGCTGTTCTTATAGCGATCAGGTAGTGCTCGTATGGGCTGGATGCGGTTGTGGTGTCGAACAGCAATTCTCGGGCTAGGATCTCAGGGTAGTAGGAGCGGTGTCGAGGATGGTGCGGAAGTTTCTTACCAAATTTGCAGATGAGGTCGTGGTGATGGTCAGTGAAGTCGAAAAGTCAGTGTGTTGAGCGCTTCTTGATATGTGGAGTAGAAGGGAGAGAATATCTTTCATGCCCTATTTTCACTTTTTCTGGTGTGTTGAGTGGCATTTAGGAAGGAAGACCAGGGAGGCAGAGGTGAGCTTGGGAAGTATGAATGTTGAGAAAACACTGAGGAGCTCTGGGGCAACATCTCCAGGGACTTGAGTCGGCGGAGGAGGTGGAGACGGAACTGAGGATTTGACAACTTCACTGACGTGTGGTTTCCAATTTAGTTTGTTGTCTATGCTGACGCCGAGGAGCTGGAATCTACAACCTGGAGTGTGAGTGTGTGTGTGTGTGTGTGTGTGTGTGTGTGTGTGTTGTCAATTGATTTCTTTGTGTTAAAATAAGGTAGGATTTACTCCTGTATGGAGTACAATGATGATGACGGTAATAACGATGATGATGACGGAAATAATGCTGATGACGACGGTGATAATGATGGTGATGATGGTAATAATGATGATGATGATGGTAATAATGATGATGACGACGATGATAATGATGGTGATGACGGTAATAATGATGATGATGATGGTAATAATGATGATGATGATGGTAATAATGATGATGACGACGGTGATAATGATGGTGATGACGGTAATAATGATGATGATGATGGTAATAATGATGATGATGATGGTAATAATGATGATGACGACGGTGATAATGATGGTGATGACGGTAATAATGATGATGATGATGGTAATAATGATGATGATGATGGTAATAATGATGATGACGACGGTGATAATGATGGTGATGACGGTAATAATGATGGTGATGACGGTGGGTGGGTCGCTGGGCGGGTGGGTCGCTGGGCAGGCGGGTCATGGGCAGGCGGGTCATGGGCGGGTGGGTCGCTGGGCAGGTGGAGTCGCTGGGCAGGTGGGTCTCGCTGGAGTGGGTGGAGTCTCTAGGTGGGTGAGGCGGGTGGGTGGGTCGCGCTGGGTAGGCGGGCCGCTGGGTGGGTGGGTCGCTAGTGGAGGAGGTCACTGGGTGGGTGGGTCGCTAGGCGGGTGGAGTCGCTGGGCGGGTGGGTCGCTGGGCGGGTGGGTCGCTGGGTGGGTAGGTGGGTCGCTGGGTGGGTGGGTGGGTCGCTGGCTGGCTTAAGGCTACACTATATGTGATTGGCAAAATACATAAACAATCACGGGTTTTATGTCATATCCAGTCACGGCTGTCAGCCTCATTCTGCTGACTGTCACGGCTGTAAGCCTCATTCTGCTGACTGTCACGGCTGTCAGCCTCATCCTGCTGACTCTCACGGCTGTCAGCCCCATCCTCCTGACTGTAATGTCACGGCTGTCAGTTTCATCCTGATGACTGTCACGGCTGTCAATTTCGTCCTCCTGACTGTCAGCCTCATCCTGCTGACTGTAACGACACGGCTGTCAGTTTCATCCAGCTGACTGTCACGGCTGTCAATTTCGTCCTCCTGACTGTAAAACATCCAGTTTCATCCAGCGGCTGTCACGGCTGTCAGTTTCATCCAGCTGACTATCACGGCTGTCAGTTTCCGTAATCCTGACTGTAACTTCACGGCTATCGTTCGCCTCGAAGCTGTCACGGCTGTCAGCCTCATTCACCTTGACTGTCACGGCTGTAGCCTCATTCTGCTGACTGTCACGGCTGTCAGCCTCATCAACTGACTGTCACGGCTGTCAATTTCCGTCCTCCTGACTGTCACGGCTATCGGTTTCATCAACTGATGACTGTCACGGCTGACAGTCTCATGCTGATAACTGTAACGTCCCGGCTGTCAGTTTCATCAGCTGACTGTCACGGTTGTCCAGTTTCATCCAGCTGACTATCACGGCTGTCAGTTTCGTAATCCTGACTGTAACCTACGGCTGTGGATTTCGCCCTCTGACTGTCACGGCTGACAGTCTCATCCTGATATGTAACGTCACGGCTGTCAGTTTCATCCAGCTGACTGTCGGCTGTCAGTTTCATCAGCGGCTATCACGGCTGTCAGTTTCGTAATCCTGACGCTGTAACTTCACGGCTGTCAGTTTCACCCTCCTGACTGTCACGGCTGTGGCCTCGTTCTTGACTGTCACGGCTGTAAGCCTCATTCTGCTGACTGTCACGGCTGTCAGCCTCATCCAGCTGACTGTCACGGCTGTCAATTTCGTCCTCCTGACTGTCACGGCTGTCAGTTTCATCCAGCTGACTGTCACGGCTGACAGTCTCATGCTGACAACACGTCGGCTGTCGGTTTCATCCAGCTGACTGTCACGGCTGTCAGTTTCATCCAGCTGACTATCACGGCTGTCAGTTTCGTAATCCTGACTGTAACTTCACGGCTGTCAGTTTCGCCCTCCTGACTGTCACGGCTGACAGTCTCATCCTGATAACTGTAACGTCACGGCTGTCAGTTTCATCCAGCTGACTATCACGGCTGTCAGTTTCGCAATCCTGACTGTAACTTCACGGCTGTCAGTTTCGCCCTCCTGACTGTCACGGCTGACAGTCTCATCCTGATAACTGTAACGTCACGGCTGTCAGTTTCATCCAGCTGACTGTCACGGTTGTCAATCTCATCCTATTGACTGTCACTGCTGACATTCTCATCCTCCTGACTGTCACGGCTGTCAGGCTCATCCTGCTGACTGTCAAGGTTTAAAATTTCTATTGTCTTCTGATTGCCATAAATCACCCGCATGTTGGCTGTCATAAATCACCCCCATGTTGGCCGTCATAAATCCCCCCATGTTGGCTGTCATAAATCCCCCCATGTTGGCTGTCATAAATCCCCTGTTAACTATCACACGCTACGAAAATGGGTAACTGTATCCTCTGTCATCCGGTTACAGTTTACAGATTAAAAACTCTAACTGACTGTACACACACACACACACACACACACACACGGAAGAAAATTCAGGAAGAGTGGTGGGCCGTAGTCGCCTACCTCAGATATAGAAGCTGACATCTTGTTTATCTGCCATGCATAACACAGTGAAGAGAGAGATCACCCACCCTATTTCACGGGACAAGTTTCACATAATTGGTTATTGCCTATTATAAGTTAGCTAAGAGAGGGGAGGGGGGGGGAGGGGAGAAGATGGAAGGGTAAGGGGGAGGGGTAAGGGGGAGGGGGAAGGGGGAGCAGTTACCAATCTTGAGTCCAAATTCTGAGAAGATTGTAATATCAAATTCCCGCAAGTGCCGCATCTAACTAGCTCATTCAGAAGATAAATTCCCACAGGTTCTGAGGTGAGAATTTTTCCTCTTTAGTCCATAGTTACGACAAATATCACAACACACTCTTTTTTCACCTTTATTTTTATCGTGTCGTTTAAAAATATATTATGTATAATGTACCAGTAACTTTATACACTATACCAAAAAAAAAAATATATACAAAATTAATAAAATAATAATAAGTAAACGATGAAAAATAAAAAAAAATAAAAATAAAAAATACAAATATAAAAATAATAATTTATAAATAAATCATAAAAAAAAAATATGATGAGCGTGGGTAATATTCCAAAATGTATTCATTAATATCAAACTGTAACACCATGTAATCCAGATGATACTAAATGTTACATAATAATTCCTTGCGATAAATGCACAGTATACACCATACTCCACTAAGAGGGCTCAGGGGTCTCACTTAGCTCAGCCAAGTAAACATTGTAATTGTCCATTAAACTGTTTCAATATTAATTAAAGTGAAACAGTTTAACACATTCTAAAATCTCCAGTCAGACTTTAAGACGCTTCTAACGTAAAGGAATAAATAATTAACACACCAAATACACATACATAATAAATTACATGAGCGGGCCAGTCAGATACGTTCTCGTTACCCCCAATTCCTGGAAATCTGACCTAAACGTACACAGACACACACAGACACACAGCCGTAGCTAATCTCTTCACCGGACACAAACGAACTGGGTCTCACTAAACATGCTACAACATCCTCTGCTGGACCGGCAGGAAAATCATGACGACGTGATGTCAGTCACAAGTTCGGGGGGTGTCATTTTGGGGTCAGATGTCAAACAGGGATTCGGATGTCAGTCAGGTTTCAAATGTTAGTCTGGGTTCAATTTTCAACTGGGGGTGCGGATGTCAAGAGCATTATCTTTCTCGCCTCTAAATGGTGTTAAAAATGAGCGAACCAGGAAGAGTCTCTGCACAAATTGGATGCCATATTAACCGCGACACTCCCCCTTCAAGGGTGACGAGGAGGTTCACTTACGATCACTAAAATTAATTCAACTTACGAACTTTTAGATATCTCTCCAACCTGTTCCTGACCCATTCACTGCCTGTACTAGCGATCCTTTACGGCAATAGCGGTGTTTATAGACCGAGAGAGAATAATCACGTGTAAAAATTTATCCTTCCGTTTGATAAGTCCAGGTGGGCGAAGGATAGGACATTCTAGCTCTCAAATTACTTGTTTAGGAGGACGCGAATGGCAAGGTGTCAGAGAGAGAGAGAGAGAGAGACCTACAAGGAGTCCTGAACACTGGGGATGTGACAAAACAAAATCACACCGGATGGGTTTTATGACCATGATCTTTCACCCCTTTAAGCCTAAAAAAAAAAAAAACAGAAATGTCGTAGTGTAGTTACAGCAGATGACCCAATGAGGTTAGGTGATTAAAATGTGAGAGGGATTAATCTACAGGTGATTTAAATAAACAAGACCAAACAACCTCTTGCAAAATGACCTATAAATCAATCAATAACTAAGCAAATCACAACAGAAAAACAAAGGAAAAACAATTAAAATCAAACAAATAATGACGACCCAATTTCATGACCTTTGCAGAAATTACAAATAACAAACAATTAGACAGGCGCTGTGTATACCGTCTGTTAACTATGTATACCGTCTGTTAACTATGTATACCGTCTGTTAACTATGTATACCGTCTGTTAACTATGTATACCGTCTGTTAACTCTGTATACCGTCTGTTAAGTGTGTATACCGTCTGTTCAGTGTGTATACCGTCTGTTAAGTGTGTATACCGTCTGTTAACTATGTATACCGTCTGTTAACTATGTATACCGTCTGTTAAGTGTGTATACCGTCTGTTAACTATGTATGCAAGTCTGTTAACTTATATGCAAATCTGTTAACTGTGTATGCAAATCTGTTAACTATGTATACCGTCTGTTAACTCTGTATACCGTCTGTTAAGTGTGTATACCGTCTGTTCAGTGTGTATACCGTCTGTTAAGTGTGTATACCGTCTGTTAACTATGTATACCGTCTGTTAACTATGTATACCGTCTGTTAAGTGTGTATACCGTCACTTTAAGACACTTATTCATAAGGTAAAGATATGATTGGATAAAATACCGGGAATCAGATAGTATTTCCTTACCTTTGAGAATAACAAAGTTTCTGAGGCAAAACGCATTAAGGTTTCGTTTACCTGTTGTTGTCACCAGGTGTGTGTGTGTGTGTGTGTGTGTGTGTGTGTGTGTGTGTGTGTGTGTGTGTGTGTGTAAACAAAAACACAAACAAAAACTTTATCTTTGTTGGTGTTTTAAAATTGTTGACCAAATGAGTTCAAATTTGCCTGAACAATGTTGATGATATACAGTTAAAGCCATTTATTTTCTTGAATCTTTTATCACTTGAAAATTAGTTCACCCACAATTATTTTTCACCTGATGATTAAACACCTGAACGCTACCTGGGGGGTTAGGTTAAGTTATGCCACGTTATGTTAGGTTAATCTTAAAGTGAAACACATACACATACACACACGCACACACACACACACACACACACACACACATAATAATAATGGTTGTCCCTCGTGTAACAAGGATGGCCAGTCCAAGGGCCACCTTGGCGTGAATTTGTTTAAGGTATAGAAGCTGTTACCAACACAACAACCACACCTTAAGTTAACGAGCTGCATGACCCAGTGTTTAAGGTGTAGAAGCTGTCGACAACACAACAACCACACCTTAAGTTAACGAGCTGCATGACCCAGTGTTTAAGGTGTAGAAGCTGTCGACAACACAACAACCACACCTTAAGTTAACGAGCTGCATGACCCAGTGTTTTGGAGTGTAAGAAGCTGTCACCAACACAACAACCACCCTGAGTTAACGAGCTGCATGATCCAGTGTTTAAGGTGTAGAAGCTGTCGCCAACACAACAACCACACCCTGAGTTAACGAGCTGCATGATCCAGTGTTTAAGGTGTAAAAGCTGTCGCCAACACAACAACCACACCCTGAGTTAACGAGCGGCATGACCCAGTGTTTAAGGTGTAGAAGCTGTCGCCAACACGACAACAACACCCTGAGTTAACGAGCGGCATGATCCAGTGTTTAAGGTCTTTAGAAGCTGTCGCCAACACAACAACCACACCCTAAGTTAACGAGCTGCATGACCCAGTGTTTAGGGTGTAGAAGCTGTCGCCAACACAACAACCACACCCTAAGTTAACGAGCTGCATGATGCATGACCCAGTGTTTAAGGTGTAGAAGCTGTCGCCAACACAACAACCACACCCTAAGTTAACGAGCTGCATGATGCATGACCCAGTGTCAAGGAATAACCCGAGAAGACCGGACAACTCACCAACTGCACTGGCTAACCATTACCCCGGAACACGATCCGCAAATCGATTAACATACAGGTTCCCAATTACTGCTGGGTAGACAGAGGTAAATGGCGTAAAGAAACTTGCCCATAGTTTCACCATGCCCGGGGATCGAACCCGGGTCCGCTCGCTTGAGAGGCGAGCATGCTGACCATTATACCACAGGTCACACACACACACAAACACACACACACACACACCAGGCCCATCCCAAGAAGCTTCTGCACCATCCTCGACACCGGCTCCTACTACCACCTGAGATCCCTCGTCCGAGAATTGCTGTTCGACGCCACAACCGCACCCAGCCCATACGAGCACGTACTGATCGCTATAAGAACAGCCCAGTCCCAACCATT